GTCCGGAAACAATGACAAAACAAGGATAAAATGACAATAAACAGATATCTATCAATAATTACTTTGAATGTAAATATACTAAACAATAAAAAGACATAGGGTGTCAGAATATATTAAAAAATCCATCTATATGCTGCTTCTAATAGATTCATTTTAGACCTATAGACACAGATTGAAAAGTGAGGGATAGAGAAACATTTATCATGCAAATTGATATAAAAAGAAAGCCAGAGTAGCAATACTTATATCAGACAAACTACACTTTGAAATGAAGACTATAATAAGTGACAAATAAAGGATACTATCTCATAATAAAGGGGACAATCCCACAAGAAGATCTAATAATTGTAAAAATTTATGTGCTCAACGTGAAGCATCCAAATACATAAAACAATAACAAACATAAAGGAATTGATGATAATATAATAATAGTAGGGGACTTTGACATTCCACTTATATCAATGGACAGATCATCTAAACAGAAAATAAATACAGAAACAATGACTTTGAATGACACACTGAACCAGATGCACTTTACAAATACATTCAGAACATTTGATTCTAAAACAAAAAAATACACATTCTTTTCAAGTGCAAATAGAACGTTTTTCAGAATAGATCACATAATACGTCACAAATTAGGCCTCAACAAATACAAAAAGATTGAAATCATTCCATGCACCTTTTCTGACCACAACACTATGAAATTAGAGGCCAACCACAAGAAAAAATCTGGAAAGACCAAAATTACATGGAGTTTAAATGACATACTACTAAACAATGAATGGGTCAACCAGAAAACCAAAACAGTAATGAAAAAATGCACCAAAAGAAATGAAAATGAAAATAAAAATTGTCCAAAACTTTTGGGGTGTGGCAAAAGTTATTCTAAGATGGAAGTATGGAGCAGTAAAGGCCTACCTCAAGAAGCAAGAAAAATCTCAAACAACATAACCTTATACCTAAAGGAGCTAGAAAAAGAACAATAAATGAAGCCTAATGCCAGAAGAATGAGGGAAATAATGAACAGCAGAAATAAATGATACAGAAACTAAAAAAAGAAAAAAAAAACCAATACAACAGATTAATGAAATCAGGAGCTGGTTCTTTGACAAAATTAATTAATATTAATAAACCTCTGGCCAGACTTTTCAAAATAGAAAAGAGAAAGGACCCAAATAAATAAAATCACAAAGGAGAGGGCCACTTGTGTGGCTCGGTTGGTGAAGTAGGTAAGTGTCTGCCTTTGGCTCAGGTCATGACTTTAGGGTCCTAGGAACGAGCCCTGTATCGGGCTCCCTGGTCAGTAAGGAGTCTGTTTCTCCCTTTCCCTCTCCCTCTCACTTGTGTTTGCACTCTCTCTCTCTAAAAAATAAAATCTTTTTTTAAAAAATCACAAAAGAGAGGAGAAATAACCAACACCACAGAAATATAAACAATTACAAGAGAATATTATGAAAAACTGTATGCCACAAATTGAACAATCTAGAAGTAGATAAATTCCTAAAAACATATAAATTACCAAAACTGAAACAATAAGAAATGGAAAATTTGAATAGACCTATGATCAGCTAAGATACTGAATCGGTAATTAAAAACCACTAAACAAACAAATATCCAGGGCCAAATGGCTTCACAGAGGATTTCTAAGGAACATTTAAAGAAGAGTTAATACCTGTTCTTCTCAAACTGTTCCAAAAAACAGAAAAGGAAGGAAAACTTCCAAATTCATTCTATTAGGCTAGCATTTCCCTGATATCAAACCAGATCAAGACTTCACTAAAACAGAGAACTACTGGCCAATAACCCTAATGAACATGGATGCAAAAATTCTCAATAGAATACTAGCAAACAGAATCCAACAATACATTAAAAAAATTATTCACCACAATCAGGTGGGATTTATTCCTGGGTTTCAAGGGTGATTCAATATTCAGAAATCAGTGTGATACACCACATTAATAAAAGAAGGGATGAAAACCAAGCAGATGTGAAAAAAAGCATTTGTCAAAGTGTAACATCCATTCATGATAAAAATCCTCAATAAAGTAGGTTTAGAGGGGACATACCTCAACGTAATAAAGGCCATCTGTGAAAAATCCACAGCTAATATCCTCAGTGGAGAAAAATTGAGGGCTTTTCCTCTATGGTCATGAACAAGACAGGGATATCCTTTCCCACCATTTTTATTCACTATGGTACTAGGACTCCTAGCCACATCAATCAGACAACAACAACAATAAAAATAAAAAGCATGCAACTCATCAAGGAGGAAGTCAAACTTCTGCTATTTGCAGATGACATGACACTCCAAATGGAAAAGCTGAAAGACTCCACACACACAAAAAAAAACCTACTAGAACCAATAAATGAATAAACAAAAAGTGGCAGGATACAAAATGTACAGAAATCTGTTGCATTTCTGTTCATCAATAATAAAATAGCAGTAAGAGAGTTTAAGGAATCAATCCCATGTACAGTTGCACCAAAAATAGTAAGATATGTAGGAATAAACCTAACCAAAGAGGTGAAAGACCTATACTCTAAAAACTATAAAACACTGATGAAAGAAATTAAAGATGACACAAATAAATGGAAAGACACTCTTAGATTAGAAGAACAAATTGTTAAAAATATCTATACTACCCAAAGCCATCTACACATTTAATGCAGTCCCTATCAAAATACCACCAGCAATTTTCACAGAGCAAGAATAAACAATCCTAAAATTTGAAGGGACCACAAATGACCCCAAAGAGTCAGTCATTCATTCAGTCATTCATATATATATATATATGTATATATACATACATCTATATATACACACACATATATACATAATGAATACATATACATATGTGTATACATATATACATAACGAAACTATAGTGATCAAGATAGTATTGTTACCAGCACAAACATAGATCAATGAAACGGAATTGAAAACCCGGAAATGAACCCACAACTATATGGCCAACTAATGTTTGACAAAGCAGAAAGGAATATCCAATGGGAAAAAGACAATGTCTTCAATAAATGGTGTTGAGAAAACTGGACAGCAACATGCAAAAGAAAGAAACTGGACAACTTACACCACACACAAAAATAAACTCAAAATGGATGAAAGACCTAAATGTGAGATCTAAAACCAGAAAAATCCTAGAGGAGAACACAGGCAGTAACCTCTTTGATATCTGCCGTCTCCTTTCTAGATATGTATCCTGGAGCCAGGGATACAAAAGCAAAAATAAACTACTGGGACTTCAGCAAAATAGAAAGCTTCTTCACAGTGAAGGGAACAATCAACAAAACTAAAAGGCAGCCTATGGAATGGGAGAAGATTTTTGCAAATGACATCTGATAAACATTACTATCCAATATATATAAAGAACTTATAAAACTCAACACTCAAAAAATGAAAAATGCAATTTAAAAATGGGCAGAAAACATAAGTAACATATTTCCAAAGAAGACATACAGATGGCCAACAGACACATGAAAAGATGCTCAACATCACTAAACATTGGGGAAATATAAATCAAAACTACAATGAGATACCATCTCACACTTGTGAGAATGGCTAAAATCAACAACACAGGAAACAAGTATTGGTGAAAATGTGGAGAAGAGGGGAACCCTCTTGCACTGTTAGTGGGAATGCAATCTGGTGCTGCCACTCCGTGAAAAACAGTTTGGAGGTTCCTCAAAAAGTTAAAAATAGAACAGCCTATGATCTAGTAATTGCACTACTAGGTATTTATCCAAAGGATATAAAAATACTGATTCAAAGGGATACATGCACCTCTATGTTTATAGCAGCATTATCTCCAATAGCCAAATTAAGGAAATAGCTGAAGTGTTTATTGACTAATGACTGGATAAGGAAGATGTGCCATATATATATATATATATATATATATCCAATATCCATATCCAATATCCATATCCAATATCCATATCCAATATCCATATCCAATATATATATTCCATATCCAGATGACTGGATAAGGAAGATGTGCCATATATATATATGTACCTATATATATATATATATATATATTATATATATATATATATACACACATACACACACACACACACACACACCGTGGAAAATTACTCCACCATCAAAAAGAATGAAATTTTGCCATTTGCAATGACATGAATGGGACCTAGAGGATGTTATGCTAAGTGAAATAAATCAGTCAGAGAAAGACAAATACCATATGATTTCACTCACATGGAATTTAAGAAGAAAAACAAATGACCAAAGGGGAGAGGGAGGGAGGGAGAGAGGGAGACAAACCAGAAAACAGACTCTTAACTCTAGAGAACAAACTGATGGTGACCAGAGGGGAGTTTGGTGGGGGGATGGGTTAAATAGGTGATGGGATTAAGGAGTGCACTTGTGATAATCACCTGATGTTTCAGTAAGTGTGGAATCACTATACTGTACACTTGAAACTAATATAACACTGCATATTAACTAACTGGGATTTAAATAAAAACTTAAATCCCCAAACCCCACATATCATCATCAATTCTCTAGTATCAGCAATGCAGTTGTTCTACTAAATTTACAACTCTAAAACCACCGTGTAAGACCATAGTTCTTAAATTATTTCTTTTATGCTGACTTAGAGATCATCATGATTTTATCAAGTGTTGGATATTTTTTTCATCAGGAGAACAGGTGATTTAGGATCCTTATTTTTACATTAAAAGGAACCCTTGTAAATGATTCTTCTTTTATTTTCTTTTACCACACTGGGTAATTGGTTTGGATCTAGTGGAAATACCAGTGAACCAGACTTCCCGGCAGAGTTTCTGGCTATGTCTTCAGGTCATTGCTGTTAAATGCTGTTTCAGTTTTAATGATTCAGATTCAGAGGTAGCTGCAAGCTCGAACACGTGCCCTAATAAGTCATACAGTGTCCATATAATATTTTTAACATGATGTTAAGTGAATCTGTAGTAAAGAAAACATTCTTTTTGTACAGGTACAGATATGAAAAGTATTCTCCTTTCTCTAATTCTACTCTCAGCCTCTCTCCATGTCTCTTGGAGTCAGACAGTCAGTTACCTCTCTCGGTTATAGAAAAACCACAATCCAAAAGAAATGATGGTAAGATGATTTTTTTTTTTTTTACTTGACTAAGAAAGCTAAAAAAAAAAAAAAAGACTTTATGTGTGCTTTAGGATGGACAAAAATTTCTGTGATTTTTTTTTCTGTTAAAAGCTTTACCATTTAAATCACGATATTATAGTGCCATAAAAATTCCTAGAATATAAGGCAGTATATGATGAGATCCTAAGAGAATATGCAGAGATTCAAATCTTATGGAAAGGGCCATTAATTACCAGTGACTGAGAAAAGCTCATTAGGAACGACTAGTTCCTAATAAGGTGGGCCATCAAATCAGGATAAAACTAACTTGGCACATAACAGATCTCAGTCCATTGCTCCACTACGAAAGAAATATATTTTTCCACCAGATCTCAATTGAAAATCTGTGTGCAGCCCCTTTTCATCAGAATGACAAAAATTTAATCTCAATTTGTCCCTAACCTTCACCCTTTTTCCCAGGGGTGGCTTACATTCTGGGGAGCTTACATAATAGCAAAGGGGGTGGTCGTGGGAGGGGCCTCTTGGTGTTATCAGTCCCTTGTCAACTTAGATATTTAAAATCCCTCCGGCCACAGTATGTGGTCATACATGTCACATTAGTGCCACCCTGTGTCTACCTTTATGTCCTCTTTAGAACAGCAACTTGCTCTGATGCAGAGGTGACAGTCTTAGAAACTCAGAAATAGTTCTATTTTCCACACAAGACAGGATGCAGGGAATTTTGTTAGCATGTCTAGAGTTCCATATGGCTGACACATATTCTATAGCAATGCATTCTGTGAGCCACCCATGGGAACATGGGAATCATCCAGAAACCCTTTGAGGAGTCCAAAGCAGGAGTGTTTAGCCACAATGTACAGCTGTCTCATCTTTGGGGTCTTGATACCTTCCTGGGCTCTATATGCCCATGGTAGCACAGGTTCTCCCTGCTCATGGAGTCCACACCATCTACCCACAGGTGTCTGCCCTGTCTCTAGGATGCTAATGAGGCAGGAGCTCAAATGTCCTCTCTCACTGCCCTTCAGCATTGACATGCTCTATGCTTCCTCTTCATCAATCCCATCTCCCTCCCTGCGCCTAGCCTCTGGATTGATTTCTGTATAGGCAGTGTGGAAGCTTCTCTTTTATCTACCTGCTAGTCATGCAAATCTTTTATCTATAGCATAAAACCTTTTGTTTCCCCTGATATCCTCACCAGTGCTTTCTTTTTAGATGTCTTTTTCCTGAGCACTGAACACTTGAGGTTATTTGAATGAAGGGAAGGGCCAGAGGATTAAAGAAAATCTAGAAATTTGAGGGGATGAGGTATGGAAGATGTAATCATGAAAAAAGTTTACCCCATCCTGCTGTATGAAAAGAAGCAGAAAAGCACACTGGAAGAAGAGGAGAGTATAAGAGGAGGGCTTGCACTTTCATCTCTACATGTGTACAGTCACTGAAGATATTTTGTTTTTGTTTTTGATAATCATGGAAGATGTGATACAAATGGCAATACAACTAATTAGGAAATATTTAAACCTTTAATGTTAAGAGAAACAGGGTTAAAGGCGAGAATTAAAATGTTTTTAATGGGAAGAGAGACAAGTTATTAGACAGGTATATAATATAAGACTCACAACTCAATCTCTTTCTTTCCTTTAAATGAGGTCTTGCTCCCTTAACGCCATAGACCTATGTGGACATCAGACATAGTGGACACAAAGTTCATCCTAAAAATGATAGTGGGGTAAATATAGGGCTCTTCTCAAAAATGCTCCACCTACAACTCCCATCCCCCCATAATACTGGAAAGCAGAGCTGTCTGACAGAACTCTCTGCAACGGTGGAAATGTTCTGTATCTATGCTGTTCGATACAGCAGCCATTAACCACATGTGATTATTGAGTACTGTAATACAGCTAGTGTGACTGAAGAACTGAATTTTTAATTTTCTGTAACTTTAATTAATTTACACTTCAGTAGCCACATATGGTGTGTGGTTACTATACTGGAAAGCATAGATCTAAGATGTCTTCCCCTATCTATAAGACTTCCCTACAAACAAGCTTCTTGGGATCACACAAATGTTAGGGGTAGAATTGAATTAGAATCAGTGTTTCCAGAAAAGGAATTCACATTATATTTGGGGGGGGGGGGTAGACTGGAAATCCACAGAAGATTAAAAAAGAAATGCTTCATCACTTGGCTACATTTTCAGAAGACGCAGAGTTAGAAGCAACAAAACTACACAGTAGTTTTATCTGTCACACAATCTGACTCATCTGCACAAAAGGATTCACCTCAGTTCTAAATAACCATATTTTAGTTTCAAAATTTACTTTAAGGGCTACTGAAGAGTGGAAATAACTCTCACCTCATAGGATCATAGGAGAATTTAACTTTAAAAATGCCTGCCAATCACTTAGCCCAGTGTCTGACAGGAAAAGAGCACTCAGAAGAGGTGATTGTCAGAGATAGAAAGTATTATCTCTTTTATTAAAGTGATTAAACTCTTCAAAGTGTATTTCACTTGTGATATGGGAGTTAATTCTCCAGCTTCACATGATTATATCAAGACATGACTTCTATAAAAGCATTTAAAAGTTGTTAGCTTTGAATTTCATTCTAAGAATACTGATGAAAGGTTCTTTATGTTGGAATAGTTACTAAAGCATATAAGGTTTTAAAATTTTATGTGAATTTTATTTCCTAAACCTGAGCCCTAAAAATCATTATTTGTTGTCAAGCAGTTGTGATGCTGCCCAAAGTTGAAGTATTACCCATATAAAATTTTGAATTGCAGGTGCAAGTTGGTCAGCAATAACCTTGCAAGTGATTTCTGTTGAAAAATAGAAAAGTTTAAAGATTAAGAAGAGAAAACCTTTCATTCAAAATTGTGTGTTTTGTCCCAGACAGGATATTGAATGTTATAGTAGCATAGGAATTCAAAGAACTCAGTGTAAATAAAAATAAGAAAGAGAAGAGAAAATTAGAAACAAGGCATCAGAAAGAAAAATCAAAGGAGTTCCTCGATCAGAATCTCTGAGGGATTTACCCTACCTAAAACATTGAAGCTTAAATATTTTCCAATCTTGGTTTGACTCCTATCAAATTATGTCTGTTGAAAATTTCACTTTTACATCCTAATCCAATTTCACTAGAGCTTGTAGAAATGCAGAATAAATATTTAACTTCGATACTGATCTAATTTCATTCCTCTTGTTTGCTTTCCTTTTGAGAATGTGAAATGGATGCCAGCTCTTCCATGTGGGTTTATGTTTTCCTGGGGAACCTTCTTCGTGGAATTGGGGAAACTCCGATTCAGCCTCTAGGCATCGCCTACCTTGATGATTTTGCCAGTGAAGATAATTCCGCTTTCTATATTGGTAATACCTACCTCATTCATCTTCTGAGGACGCAGAGTACCCACTTTTCTTGACTCCACTCCAAACTAAATAGGGCATGGAAGGTTTTATCCTTCAGATCCTGTTCCTTTACTGAGTTCACATGTTTCAGAGGTCCACACTGAGGATTTGGATGATGAAGAAACTCAAATTAGAAGGACCAATTGCGTTAGGGAAAGAACATCAGATTAAAAAGAAATAACTGGAAGATGGACTGCCATGATGTATGACTTCATGCAAATATTTTCATGAACTTCAGATTTCATAGGTTTTTACTGGGTTAACTGTACTACTGAACCACCTAGGTATCATTTATATTCATTTTTTATTTTGTTTCCAGAGCTCTAGGAACTGCTTCCCATCTTTTAAACCCTATTTAAAGCATTTTTATCCTATGAGGGATGGGCAAGGAATTTTGAGATCTCAATAGCAGGCATGAATGGATAAAAACACAGGGAGCATGAGAGCAAGGCCTGAGGTGAACCCATGCCTGGAACAGGTGCCAGTAGATAGACCAGCAGCTAAAATCACACACACACACGCATAGACACACACGCATACACACACAATACAGCAAACTCTAATTCCAAGGCCAGGTGCATCTAAGCAGCATTTATTGAGTGCCTCTTATGTCTTGGAAACTAAATTTGTCTCCATTTCACATATCAGCCTTGATTTCTTGGGGTTCTAATCTTTTGAGGGCCTGGCCTTCAAGGCATAGAGGACAAGATTTAAATTCACTGAGAGGGGCTGCGACCAGCCCTACACTATAGTTCTGCCCTGGCCATGTGTGCAGAACTCCAGAGGGCTCTCCTTACAGTCAGGCGAGCTGTAATTAAAAACAGGTTACCTGCTCTAATGGAACACTGCAGTGTAAGTCAGGACCTGGCACAGAAGCTCCATCACATGTGCTAGACAGTTACTCTGGTGACTGGAAGAAAAATTGCAAGCAAAGAGATGCATGCAGGTGTCCGGGTGTCCCTTCCTTGCTCTCTCTCTTCATTCTTCTCTTCCGGAAAGGATCTGTGAATTGCCATTTACTCTTTTTCTTAAGTTAATCTGCCAGGGATACGTGTGCGAGAAGTACTGTGGTGACATGAAAGGCAGATGGGACATACTTTGCAGGGAAGAGCTACCTTTCTGGTAACCAGAAACGGTGTTTTTTAAGTAATCTGCTCCCGTCTCATATTAATGCGGCCCAGGCTGGTCATGATTGTTCCAAAGAGCACCTCTCTACACTCCCAGGTCTGACTGGTTGTATTCAGGGATCTGCATGGCTACCGCTCCCACAGATGGTTGCACAGACTCTCTGAATGCATGCACTTTGGCACTAAGGTGGAAAAAATCAATTTTCATGTTAAAAGGACTCAACACTTACCCAACCATAAAAAGTTTTTGAAAGACTGTCAAAATAGTATAATTCTGATTTTTTTTTTTTTTTTTTAAAACCAGTAGGGGAAATCTAATTCTAGGGAGTAAAGTTTTCTCCATTTGGGGGAAATTAACTTCTTCAGAATCTTGGTGTTACTTCCTTACTAAGAGGCAATTAACGCCTTCCACATATTCATTCTTCTTCCAAAGCTGAGCAGGACTTATTTCATGATTCAGTAAGGTTGAAAAATGGACAAATTAAGCACAGTTAAGTGAAGAGTTGATGAGATATTTTCAGCTACTAACTGGACCTCACTCCTATTTCTTGTTTAAAAAATTAATCATTTACAAAAGTGGAGAAATGCCACTTCTTTTTCATTTTCTTTCTTTCTTTTTTTTTTTGATGCAGGGTGTGTGCAGACGGTTGCAATTATAGGACCAATCTTTGGCTTCCTGCTAGGCTCACTATGTGCCAAACTGTATGTTGACATTGGCTTTGTAAACCTAGGTAAGGAAGTTTATTTTTATTTATTTATTTATTTTAGTCACTGAACATTTTTAATGGGGATGGTGTAGAAAATATCAAATTCCCTTTTTATAAAGTGACAGGATGGCAATCTTTCATAAAATGAAAATAATCCACTGAAAATTGGTCATTGATATAATCACTACATGCATTAATAAATGGAATACGAAAAATAGGCAATGGTTAGAACTGGATGACCCATGGTTTGTTATTCAGATGTATCCCTTTCCACTTCTGGTTTGCCACTTCAAATGAATTCCAGCATAGTTAAGACTAAAAACTGTGGCTTCTTGTTGGTTCAGGTGTAGCAACATGACAGTCACATCAGTTGATAATGTATTTTGTAGATTTGCCAGAAAGACCAAGAATTGAAAGTCTTCTGGCAACCAAAATATGTTCTTTACTGTACAGATCTTTTTCAGATGGAGGTATATTAGAATGAGGCTACCTAATTCTCTGGGAGAGTGCTTGTGGAGGGAACAAATGGGGGACCTCATCTTTCCATTCTATTAATGTGTTTCTTTCTTGTGAGATGTACCTCCTAGATGTGGAGATCACTTTTCTTTCTTTTTAAAGAAGTTCAAGAAAGCAGTTAGAAACAAGAAAACAGGTTTCATTTTTTTTTTTTAAATTCTGAAACTGCATTTTGAGGTCCACATGTGTTAAAGTTAAATGCAAAACTCTTGCGCCAGGTTTTCTTTTTTATCAAACTGCAAGACACATTCCAAATATTTTTTTTTATTCATTCATTTATTTATTCATTAACCTCATTAATTTTGCATCTATTCTGTCCCAGGTGCTGTTCTACCACAAAATGGTGAATACAATAGTAGTTGAGTGCTTGACTTCCTGAGGTTTTAAAATCCATTCATGGAGGCTGATTCAGATAAGAAAGCATAGGTGTGATGAGTGGTACAGAGGGAAGTTGTTAAGGGGAAGAAATGAAGATGTGACGATGAGCCAGTGTGAACATTTTACCAAGTATAATGTGGCAACGGAGCCTCGTCATCACAGGACATGTGTTTAGTTCATTGTTCTCACGGAGTGTAGTGGAGGTAGATCTATCGTAAGTTTTATGGGTTCTGATATAGAAATAGAAAAGAAAAAAAAACCACTTGATTTGGTTCAAAAAAAACTTCATCACCACTTACCTTTTTGTCAAATAAGAAATGGTGTCAAAAATAAAGTTTTGCTGATGAATAAGATTTTGACATTTTATTTATATAAACAAATCTTGCTTCAGACCTAGAGTAGCTCTGGAGTATTACTGTCATTTAGTGAGTAACATTGAGTGTTTTAGACTACACTGGGACCAGTCTTTCTTTGAGAAAAATCCTGGACAGACATTCAATATGTGGACCAGACGCAAGGGTTGCTGTTGGGGGGTAGCCGGCAGAAGGCTTGGAGCCCCCATAATTCTCCCTCATAGGGTGCTTGCTTCCTGTGTCATGGACCAGGGGTTTCCTCTGCAAAACCCCAGAGTAAGACCCCCTCCCCCAGGATTTAGGCTCTATATTTTAAATCTAAGGAACAAATAAAGAAAAGCAGCATGTTCCAGAAATAAAGCAGCATGTTTCCTTCAAAAAGCAAGAAGATTATAACGTTCAGACTAGAAAGTTATCATGCATGAATTATTAGGTATTCTTATGATGTGATAGAGCTAATGCTAGGATTTAAAAAAAAAAAAAAAAAGAGGCTTATTTCAACTCACTGGCTTTGCTGTATATGCAATTTAGCCGTCCTCTCTGTCTTTCAGATCACATAACCATTACTCCAAAGGATCCCCAGTGGGTAGGAGCCTGGTGGCTGGGTTACCTAATAGCAGGAATTGTAAGTCTTCTCGCAGCTCTGCCTTTCTGGTGTTTACCAAAAAGTCTTCCGAGACACCGAAGTAAAGAGGATTCCAGTTCCTCCTCTGAGAAATCCAAGTTTATTATGGACGATCATACAGACTACCAAACATCCCTTGGAGAGAAATCAAAAATAATGGAAATGGCAAGAGGTGAACCAGACTCTCCTTGATTTTGAAGCACTTTCAGTTTTCCTGTTAAGACTCTGTAGGGTATCTATATATAATACCCTTCTCTCCCCATCGTTTGTTTAGAAGAATTCAGAAACTATACAGGACACAGAATTGAAGATTACAAAGTCAGCTTTATTACTGGAGAGTAGATTAAAGAATATGACCCAAAGTTTGGGTAACCTTCATTGCTGACATTCCCACCCTTACACTACTTCAGGTTAGACCTAGCAATGGCCCCTATCTGGGATTGCTGCTTCACATCAGTCTGGGTGGACTGAAGAGAGTGAATCTTCAGATCTTGTGGCCTTTTGACAGATGAGATTCAGTCATTTGACAAATGTGTCAGTGCCTGTTTCCCACCCTTGACGGAAGGAATGAGTGCAATGGGGAGGCACAAGGCCAGACATGTTCACGTGAATTCCTTCCACGTGGAAAAAGAGTGACCATGAGAATGATGGGTCCCCCTTAGTTGGGCCCAGCAAACAGTATTTACAGAAAATCTCCACATTTCAAACTTTTCAGCTACATCATAGGAAGAAGGGAGAATGCTAAACCTCATTTCTTAGATTAAGTTCATTAAATTAAATGGAGATAAGGTTCATGTTTCTTTGTGACCATGATGCAAGTTTAAAGAGGAGATACCAGAAAACTGAAGTTCTTGATGTCCTGCCAATGACTTTCAGCTCTGTGGGGAGGGAGTATTCTTGTTTCTCTTTCCTTCTACCCATGTCATTGGGAGGAACGTGTTCCTGTCTGACTTCTACCTCTAACTGTCATCTAAATTATATGCCTGTAGAAGCGAGTGCTTGTGTCTTGATATGAACCCGACAAATCTCAGCCTTGACTTATGCCAGTGCTTCATATCCATAGTGTCTGTATGCACCGTGCTAGAACCGCTCCTTCTAACTGTGGCAGTGGGACCCGGCCAGCTGTGCCCTGGTGATAAGACTGTGTCTTCTGCTGAGTGCAACACGGTCTTTAATCACTCCCACGTTATTTTTGTCTTACAGACTTTCTTCCGTCACTGAAGAATCTCTTTGGAAATCCACTGTACCTGCTGTATTTGTGTGCCAGCACGGTTCAGTTCAATTCTTTGTTTGGAATGGTGACCTATAAACCCAAGTACATCGAGCAGCAGTATGGGCAGTCATCCTCCAAAGCCAACTTTGTTATCGGTATGCTCATCTGTCCTTCACACTCACCAGTAGGCACCATCAGCTGCATCTTGTTCACCCTTAGGTATTTTAGAGAAAGCTCTTCTCCTGTTTAGACTGAAGATGATTTATGGCATTTTAGATATGAAGTCAAAAAGTGAGTGAAAACAAATCTACCAGAGTGAAAAAAAATCCAGTTAAAATACTGAGGTTGTCGGTGGTACAACTTTGCAGCAAGAATTATTCACAACTGTAAGTGAGTGACCTTAAGAATATTAAACTGAATGTGCATTTTATTAGGAGATTGTGATATTGGGTATGTGTCTTTCAAGTGTAGCCAGAACTTCCTAACAGTGGCCATTTAACCTGAACCGTTTCTAGGATTATAAAAAAGTGAGTATTCAGAGAGGTTAAAAGGTGCTCATTGCAAAACAAAGTTTGTTTTTGCTCAGAGTTAAAGGACTTTTCTGAGTCCTGGCATTCAGGTTATTTTTAAGGGCTGTGTTTCTAACAGAGCAGGTCAGTCAACGATGAAAAAGCTATTGAAGGGCAAAGAAAAGCATGTAGAAATGAAGGAAGAAGAACCAGAATGTGCAAATACATGAACATCATGCTCCTAGTAATTGGATACTTTTAAAACCTGGGTTAGCTCCCTTAGTTCATGAGGACATCATTTAATGGTTCTGTTTCAAGGCATAAATAGATTTTATTCCTTTGGACAAATTCCTTAGTAGTAGGAAACTCCAATGATTTAAAAACATTTCTTCTTCATAAAATGTTTTTAAAATTTTCTATGTATCTATCTCTGAAAGAGGCCTCTGCGTTTATTTCAGAATATGTAATTATCCTGTAACAGTCCTGGGTAATGGGCACTTAACAGATGTTAATTTAATTGACTATTCAGACTACTCTTCTAAATTATAAATATTAAAGCTATACCACTCAACTTTTGCTTTCAACATTGATTGGTTCAAATTAAGTTAATTGTGTGATTTAATGGTGGAGCTGAAAAAACATTTTAGGTTTTATTCCCCCCAAAACCCCATCGTGCCAGTTGGTACTTTATACTGACTTTAACAAGAATAGAAGAGAAATAAAAGCTTAGGAGACATTTTTAAAATTTTATTTCAAAATCTCCTTTGTGTTTATTGAGCCATAACTTACAAGCGCTAGTTAACTCTGCAGCCCCTAAATGTGTAGCTCGGCTGGATAAATGTTTACATCAAAACCTGTGTAGTGACTGTCAGCTAGAACGTGGAGCTCATTTCAGAATCACAGAGGGCTCTCTCAAACCTCGTCCTACTCCATATGCTTTCCCAGAGCTAATAATTACCCTGAACCCTGCCTGAACCCTGTCATCATAGATGGTTTTTGAACTTAGACAAATGGGATCGTATGTTGCGTATGCTGTGTAGTCTTTTGTGTCTAGGTGATTTCAGTCAAAGTGAAATCTATGAGACTCATTCATGTTGTGTATAACAGTTTGATCTTTTTCATTGCTGTGTCATATCCTATCATATGAATATACCACAGTTTGTTCATTTTATTGTTGGTGGGTATTTGGGTTGTTTTCTGGTGTTCACTAGTATCAATAACACTGCCTGATCATTCTATATGTATTTTAGTGGGTGTATACACAATGTTTTTCTTGACTGTAACTTGGAGCAGAATTGCTGGTCATGGAAAGTATATATGTTTAGACCCATTAAATATAACCAAAACATTTACAGTAGGGTTGTGTAAATTTATACTCACACTAGAAGTATAAAAACGTTCCAGTTTCTCTGTATCCCTGTCATACTCACTATTGTCAGTGTTTTTCATTGTCACCATTCTTACGGGGTGTGGAGATATCCTATTATAATTTATTTGCATGTAACTGGTAACTGATGATGTTGAGCACTTTTTTGCAGGCTTGTTAGTCGTTTCAACATTCTCTTTTTGTGGATTATGTTCAAATTGTTTGCCTGTTTCTCTTGAGCTGTCTGTCTCTTACTGATTTGTACGGATAGGTACTTTTTCTTGATACAAGTTCTTTACTGAATATACGTATTATAACTATTTTCTCACAGACTTCAGTTCTTTTTACTCTCCTAGTGGTGAGCTTCATATTTTTTTATTAACATATAATGTATTATTAGCTCCAGGGGTACAGGTCTGTGAATCACCAGGTTTACACACTTCACATCACTCACCATAGCACGTGCCCTCCCCAATGTCCATAAGCCAACCACCCTCTCCCTAACCCCCTACACCTGGCAGCCCATTTCATATTTTTAAACAAGTCCATTTTCCAGTCTTTTTCTTCTCATTACTGCTATTTTAAGCCTGTTTCAAGAAATTCTCAAACCTGAAGGCTGTGAAAATGTTTTCCTAATATTTCTACTAGTAGCCTAATTGTTTTAACTTTCACATTTAGGTTATAATACATTTCAGATAGTGGATTGTTTTCAAAGATTTTATTTATTTATTTGAGAGAGAGAGAACACAAGTAGGGGGACAGGCAGAGGGAGAGGGAGAAGCAGATTCCCTGCTGAGCAGGGAGCCAGATGTGGGGTTTTATCCCAACACCCTTGGTTCATTACCCCAGTGGAAGGCAGATGCTTAACTGATTGAGCTACCCAGGCGCTGCTGGTTATAATACATTTCAATTTTTTTAATATAATGTGAAAAAGGTCAAGTTTCTTTTATCAAAATGAAAAAGCCATCTTTTCCCTATGAATTGCAATGAAGTGACACATCTTTAAGTGTATGTTCATTTCTTATTATTCAACATGTGCATAACACTTAGAGTTTGAGGGCATTTGATTTTGGTGTCACTAGAATGATAAATACATTTTTTATTTCAAATTGAAAACATTTATTTCATAAAGGAAAATTAAGAGCATTGTTTGGGAAAAGATATTTATAATAGAAAATGAGATTGTATGTAATCTTATTTTTTTATTGGGTAGATAATAAATGAAATACTTTTGCTATAAAATTATTCTTAAGAAAAATTAGCACAGATGAAAGAACTTAAAATTCTGAGAGATTCAATGGTCTACCTAATTGCATACATACATTATAATGTAGCCAGGAATAAAATTATTTCCCCTGAGTTATATTTCTTCTCTGGACATAATCAGTTTTGGAAAACTGACAAGAAGAATCTAATAATTGTTTTTTAAGTTGTGGACAGTTGATTTCTTTCAACCATAATCCTCTGTACACTCATATGGTCCCTGAGATCCAAGCTCATCATCAGAATTTTTTAACTCATCTATCAAAGTTTACCTAAGGTTCTGATTCTTCATAGTTTCCATCATGTCATGTCTATGGATTATTCAAGTACTTTATGAGAGATAAGTAATAGTGTCTAATGATTTCAATCTTTATAGCTAGGATTCTTCTCTGAATGTATCTGGGTTTCACATTAAGTATGGAAAAAAAGCAGAGTAAGGGTAAGTGGGAAAATGAGTCAACATCCATAATACTTATTTTGATTATCTTTAGAATGGCGAAAATAGATGCATCATTAGGTTAAAATAGAGATTAAATAAAACCTAGAAAATGCATTGTAAATGTCTATCGCTATCATTCAGTAAATACTGTTCTCTCACTTCTTTCTCTTCTTCTATCATTTTTCTCTCTCTTTCCTCCTTCATTTTTTTGGGGGGGGTGTGCTGGGGGAAATTATAAAGGATGATCCTTTCTGTGATGAAATAAGGGAGAAGCACAAAGAAAGCACGTTTCCTCTCTGCTCTCAGAGAAGGCATTTGACCTGACATGGCAGAAAGAATAAACAGAAATTTTCCTAGTTTTCAAAGGCCAGTTGATACATTGTTGATTTATTTTTGCTGTATGTGTTTTGCTATGTTGGCCGTATTTCTAAAGTTTAGATTAATATTTTCTCATGTTAACTACTTATTAAAATATTTTAATTATTAAAATATAATTTTGCCAAGAAAATTAATGAAAAATAAGCAACAAAAATGTTTCAAATTCAGGGACTAGGAGGCATATGGCAAAATGATCTTGCTTTTTCAAGTGTGTGGGGTTTTTCTTCCCCCATTGCAGTTTCCACTGGAAGAAGTTTAGATAGCTTAATTTTTCTCCTTTTTTCAAAGCTTCTCCTATCACTGTTAAGTTACATGAGAATGATCTTAAGTTTTGTTTTCCTTCTTAATACACAGATTGCAATTTTTTAGCCATTTTTCTTAATTTCTTGGAGTTTTTTTTTTATTAAATAAAACAATACCTAGTGGACATGATACATTGACATTGATTCTCATTGACAGCAGTGATCCATTCTCCATTCTTGGAGATGATACACAGACAAATAAGGGAAAGTTATGATAATTATTTCGGGAAAGTTGCTTATAATAGAAAACATTAATTTTTTGTGGCTAAGCTAGCATTAGCAAATTAAATGTGTGTTATGATATGTTCTAAAATTAGGTCAAGTTATATTAAAAATCTGAGAAATAATGGAAAACAATCTTAGTTTGTGAGAAAAAAATACTCTTATTATACCCAAGAAAGATGGCTAATTTTACTTCTTTGTCTATACCAAATTGGCTACATGAGTGTGAAAAGTCCCATATATTTAAATCTTCTAACAGTATAACATTGTGAAGGTCCATTATATATTACAGAATTTTACTTTGCTGGGAGAAAAGCTCTAAAACATCCCAAAGTACTATTATTACTATAAACTATTACCATTTTATTTTAGTGGCTAAGGCTATTGTACATTTGTATGGGAATCAGAGTTCCCAAATTATATTGTAACTGTGCTGTCAATCTTAAAATATTTATATTTAATATATATAAATATTTATATTTAATAACTCCTGTTTTGAACAGTAACAAAGAATAAGGTCTTCAGCTTGAATGAGTATATGGAAGTAACAACAACATATTCATTCTTAAATTTCTCTTAGCTTTCCTGTTATTTGAGTAAATATATTAAATTCAAAAGACATACATAAATTAAATTGAAACAAATTGTGGATGCTGTTGTAAATTACAACTGGTATTTCCATTTGGAGTATTTAAATGGTAAACATTTTAAGATCAGCACATTTTATGGTGTGAGTGAAAAGAAGTGTGTAATGAAGAAATCAGTGAAATTTCTACTTCATCAGCTGACTTAAAATACTTTAGACTAAAGAGGAGAAGCTTTGGGAGGCAAGCAGCACATCTCATCTGATGTTTAGGAAATCTGCTATCAACTCAACTTGGCCCAGCATAGATAGCTTACAGATCCTAGAGAATTTGAAAGGGGGAATCAAGTTGACAGTATATTTGAAATGTACTGCTACTGTTTTTACAGAATCATTTTATAATTCATTTGTCTTGAAATAGGAAAGTAAAATATCCAAGAGAACTGTTGTATGTGGATAAACTAAAGTTTAGCCATTTGGCACATTTTTATGGAAAACTACAAGGAGCTCAGGATATGATGGTGAGCACAGTTTTTGTCTTGAAGGTGCTATGGGAAGGTGAGGGGTGTAAACCAGATAAGCTAGCCAGTAATTGTGACAAGGACCAAGACTGATGCCTATGGGACCCTGTACAAGGGTCAGAGGCAGAGGGAGGAAAGGGGCTTCTGATGACCCACCTTGTGCACCCTGATATCAGAGATGTCTCTGGAGGCACCATATGGCTGGTGGAGGCTGTGAGAAGTCTCTAGGAGTAGTCTAGAGAACTCTGGGAGAACAAACCCTATCTTGGAGTCAGAAGAAAATCCTCTAGGAAGAGGTATCAATACCTCTTAAATTAAAAGCAAAAGAATAAGGGGGTGTTAAAACATGAAATGTGGACACTAGGGTGGTGTACTGAAAGGATGTTGATCAGATGAAGCAAATATCTTGCCTAGAAAGGACTGGAGGCAAGAGAGTGCATGAAACTTTCTGGAATTTTAGGAGAACACAGGCTCTAAGAGGAGATCAGTCAGGAGAGGATATTCCTGATTTTTAACATTCTGTACTGAGGGAGCAATGCCCTTAGAATCACCCCATTTTGATTCTCAAGGTCTTCTAGGCCAGATCAGGGTGGGGAAGAGTTAGGGAAACCCATACAGCATGAACCTACACAAAGTATCAAAGGGTATCCTTTGTGATCCTTTGTGCTATGACTCCTTATGTCCCAAGTTTGGATTGATATTTTACAAAATAAATGAAATTCTAAGCACACTCTCTCAAGGTTTCAATTTAGAGGCTAGTTTTCAGAAGATGTGTTTTTTATAAATTGCTTTTGGGAGATAGAATTGAAAGAGAGAATAGGACTCTGCCCTTTTTGTGTAAGTCTTGGGTCTGTGAGAGGGGGATTTGAAGTCAAGTACTGTGAATATGTGTATGTAAAAATAGGGTCTTAAATGGCACACATCAACTCCATGGCAATGCTTAATTCTTGAGAAGGAAGATGGAATCTGGAACAGAGAAGGAATCTGTTTTATATATCTCCATATTTAAAAATCAGAAAAATTGGGAGAATATATTAGCATTTATTAACTTGGGTCATGAGAAACCAAGTTTGTTATATTATTTTCCATTATATCCTCTCTTTGGAAAAATAAATAATAAGCAGTTTCCTTTTAGTTGACCTTTGGCTCTTAAGGGGCCCAGGATACATTTATCTCTACCACTTGCTATAGCCACAAACCTCAGCTTAGCTGGGAAAGAAAAAAATAGCATCTCTTTTTTTTTTTTTTTTTCAACAGTTTTGTGATCTTGCCTCCTTCAAGATGGGATGATCTCTAATGTGATCATTTTAATTTTAACATTTACCAATTTAAAATCTAAACAAGAAGTCAGCAAAGAGCCTGTTTTCCCACCTTTTCTAACACAGAAATGTTCCACTCCACCCACCCATCCCAATATTTTCATCTTTGTGACTCTAATAGATTGAAATGCAAGTAACAACTTAATTGAATGATATTTATGTGCCATATATTGTGCTAGGAACTTTTCATGTTAACACCTCAGTACTGTTTTTGCTCCATATTATAGGTAAGGTGACAGGTTTATAGAAGTTCAGAGAAATCACCTGCCATTGCAAAGCCATGAAGGTATGGGGCTGAGAGCCAAACCAGGCAGTTAGGTCCCCAGAGTCCAAGCTCTCAACCACTTTGTTGGATCTCTTCTTAGTGCTGTTTTAAAATCGCATTTATTTTATTACTAGTGAGATTGCACATCTGTTTATCAAGAATCCTGAGTCCCAAACTGTCTGGAGGAGAGATGGTATAATGTAGTGACTAAAAACAAGAGATTTGACATCAGACTCTGTATTGTCGAATCTTGTTTTAACACTTACTAATCATGACCATGAATAAATTACTGTCAGAAGTGAAAATAACAATACGGCTATCTACTAGGGTTGTGGTAAAGAATAAATGTGAGAGATACATCAAATGCTTACCCAAGTGGCTGGTACATTATAAGCAAATAGTAAATATAAATGTCATCAACTAATACATTGTTTTGTTGTTGCGGTTGTTAGGGTAGATACCAAACTAAACAACTAGAGTCTAAATAAAATAAATTTGGTTTGGGCCAGAAAAAAAGAACCAAAACTGTGTTTTTGTTCCCTGAATTCCATGTACCTATTATTCTCTTATGCACAAACTTAACGTTAATTTTCACCTAGTTGCCCCTTGATTGTACCTGTTAATCCTGGGATTAGACCAGAAAGACATTGACTCATTGATTAATTCAGTGTTTATTGATTTTAAACTCTGTGCTGGATATTGTGTTAGGCAGGCTTCTGAGACTCTCAGTTGTGCTATCCTTAATCTATAACCTAGACACTCACAAAATCTCTTGATATGTCAGTGAATAATAGTAAATGAATATTTCTATAACTTAAAATGACCAACCAGTCTAATAAATTGTCAGGAATTATTATATAGCTTTATATAATCTCTCAGAAAGTTTATGTCGGCACACTCAAATTTCTTTTAGAGATTCACAAAATTATATATATATATTTTTTGTTTGTTTGTTTGTTTGTTCTTCAGGACTCATCAACATACCTGCAGTGGCCCTTGGAATATTCTCTGGGGGGATAGTTATGAAAAAGTTCAGGATCAGTGTGTATGGAGCTGCAAAACTCTACTTGGGATCGTCTGTTCTTGGGTACCTCCTATTCCTTTCCCTGTTTGCACTGGGCTGTGAAAATTCTGATGTGGCAGGAATAACTGTCTCCTACCAAGGGTAGGTTCACTTATTAAGTAATCTGAGGAGATTGGCTTGTTTAATCAAATTAATTATAGATAGAGCTTCAAAATAAGATAATTTTATTGTAAACATCATAAATATGAGAAAGGATTATAGTTTTATCATGGAATAGCTGATGGTACGTTGACATGGGAGCTGTTATTGTCACCAAAATTTGTCATCTCCTTTGAATTTGGTTGTCTACGAGAAATTATTAAAAATATTAAATCTACATCTTCCTGTATAGGGCAACCTGACAATGGAAAACACAGACCTTGAATCTCACCTCTGTTCATCATTAGTGAAGTGACATTGCATAGGTCATTTAATCTAATCAAACCTCAAATTTTCCATTATAGTTTTTAAATTTTTTTTAAAAGATTTTATTTATTTATTTGACAGAGAGAGAGAGAGCTCACAAGTAGGCAGAGAGGCAGGCAGAAAGAGAGGAAGGGAAGCAGGCTCCCTGCTGAGCAAAGAGCCCAATGCAACGCTTCATCCCAGGACTCTGAGATCATGACCTGAGCTGAAGACAGAAGCTTTAACTGACTGAGCTACCCAGGCACCCCAAATTTTTCTATTTTAAAAAAAAGAATACTAACTACCTTATAAAATTTTATAAGATTTAAGCAAGATAATATACGTGGAAATGATTAGTACTTGCCTGGCACAGAAGAGATGTGCCATTTGTAAATAATTGTATTTTTTTTCTTTGAACACTTGGATAACTGAAAAGGTCTCCGTGCTACTTTTTGTAGTCTCTGTTGTACTCAAATCATGTGAAGTTTCAGAAGAGAATGCTATTTCTCATCCTGGTGAACCACACAACAGCTCTGTTTAGCTCTTAGCAATTGGTCAAGAGAATATTTATTGATGTTTTCAGACCTGTGCCATCTCGTATGGGAGGGATGACTACTTTTCTTAGTTTCCAGGGTCTGTCAATCTTAATACGAAGCTGCATCCTGAAGGAACTACCCTGTCTTTTCCTTTGAAGAGTCCTTGCCATCACTCTACCTCTGAACATGAGTTCCCAGACACAGCTGTCTTCATTCTTCCACCCAACTATATATTATCTGTTTAAATTAAACATTGAGCCACTACTGTATGCCAGGCCTACCACCCTGACTGCACTACCTCACTGCCCAAACTCTGCCTGTGCCTCAAAGGCCAGTGCTCCTGATCTAATGATGTGTATTCTGTTAGTTCAGCTGCTGCCTATTTACTGCTTGCTCTCCAGGCTTCTTCCTGTGCTTCCTTCCATGCTTACCTGTCTGTCTTGTCTCCATAGTCCAATCTCCATCACCCTCATTAATCTGGTTTCTCCTGCTCTTAAGTGAATATTAGTTATACTTTTCACCATCTAAAAAGTCCAAGAAAACTAGTGACTGTGAAGTTTATATACTGTTGCTTCTGGGAGTTACCAGAGTGATTTTAGACTTAACTGAGTGTAGTAGCATTGCCTTGCTAACAGTCAGCAATATAGAATAAGGACGTTAGCTGTAAACAGGAATTGCAAGAAGATTCTGGAGAGAGTAGAAGCCCTACGCTCTTCAACTGTCCCTATGATCCTGATGGTAGATGGACAGTGGTAAACTTCTTAGTATTTTGCAATTTACAAAACACCATGACTTTCATTATCTCACTTATATCCTCAAAGCATCTTTATGAGGTAACTTTTGTTACCCTCATTTAAAAGAAACTGAATTTAGAAAGGTCAATTATCTCTTCAAAGTATAATATTCGTTGTACAACATCATGGCATTTCTAAGCCAAAAGTAAGCACATAAACAGGCAACAGTGGCAAAGTTTTGAGGTTCACGTTTTAAAAGTATACTCACACAATAAATGATTAGATATTTTTAAACAAATAAAAGATAGCGTATTCATTGCATGAGTACTAGCCCTAGAAGTACTAGCTCTTGAAGCAGTTGCCTTAAAAGACTACAATTGCATTACAATAATGTTATCATTGTCTAAAACATTCTCAAACTTCTCTTTTGAAATTGCTTTCCAGTGCTCGCTTCGACAGCACATATACTAAAATTGCCTTCCATGTTTTTCAGAATATTCCCAACAATGGCAAAGATTTAACCTTTAAGAGTAGCTTTGCTATTGGAAGCAACCAAAGAAATGGCAACATCCCTGGAAAAAGCTCTTGCATCCCAACATGATTCTTTTGAAAGCAAATCCCATTTGAGTATAAACATTCTGATATATTTGATAAAAGTTATCTTAAAATTTTAAATAATTCTGTCAACACATCCTTTGTAAAACATGCATGCAATTAATTTCTGCTTCAAGATAGTCATAGATGATAAATTTAACTTACTTTTAGTAATAGAAAATAATTGGCTTTATAGAATACAACATGCTCCCCAGGGATTATCCTGAGTTGTTTTGTTCCACAAGGCTGTTTTGATTCTGGACATTCAACAGGAACCCTGTAGACAGCTTTAGATATGGTAATGGAAGAAACCTTTCTTCTGCAATAATGAGAGTAAGTTTGATGTGAGACAAGAATTTAGAATCCAAAGGCCTGGAAGAATTCTCATTTTGAAGTTTGTCTCTAATAAACATTGTGAATTTGAGCCGGTAATTTGCCCACTTTGGACATGACTTTCCTGATCTGCCAAATGAGAAGTTGGCCTAGATCTCCCCCAAAATTCTTTCCGCACAACCTTCTGAGATCTCAGTCCTACACTACCCATAGTGGCCTGATTCTAGGCTTTCAAAGGCACTTATTTATACTTTCAGATACTACCAAATAGTTTCAGTTAATTTACCAAATACTGTCTTATGGAAGAGAACAGGATGAAATATTCCTATATGACTTCCCAGAAGGCCTAGTTATACCCTTTTATTCTGTCTGGAGACATCTCAGGGGCTGTTTTTTGTTGTTGTTGTTGTTGTTTTGTTTTTGTTTTTTATGTTTGCAGTAACCAAATGCATGGCAGTTCTACTAGATGGAATAGTCTATCAATTAAGAAATTATAATTGCAGTCATTATGGGGTTTACCTCTTAGAAGGAGGGGCCAAAATGACATTTATTTTCCTCCAAAATAGAATAGCATTTTACTTTGATTGACTTACCAGAAATCTTATTCTTAACCTAGTCTGTTCCAGATTGTTCTTGCTGCTGGAGATACAGGAGTGAATAAAAGAAATCGTTCTGCCCTCACTGAGTGTACATGACAGTGCCCTTGGGGGTTTTGTTGTTGTTTTGGTTTTAAGGCCCTCAAACACTTTTGTTTAAAAAAAAATGAGAGGAGGAGAATAAACAAATAAATAAATTCAAAATAATGGAAAAAAAAAAAAAGAATGATGGAGTGCTAACGGATGAAAAATAAGTTGCAAGTAGAAGAGAAATATCACTGCACAAGTATCCCCTAGAAGAATACAGGAATATGAACAGAACAAGGAGAATAAAAGAAGAAAAATGAGGTCATTCAGTTGAGGAGAAGAAATAGAGGTGAAAGAGGAGGAATTCTGGGAGAGGTAAGGGGAGAAGGTGAGACAGAATGACAGGGAGAGAAAAGAGAGAAGATATCAAAATTATGTAAAGTTAACTGTTAGAACCAAAAGATAGCTCCTTAAGGGCAAATATTGTCTCATTCGTATTTGTAACTATCCTCTCTCCTCCCAAAGCTAGCACTTAGAAGGCTTCCACAAAATTTTGAACACATGAACAAATGAATGGGTAAGTGATTGAAAGAGCATGTGCAAGAGAATCAGAAAGAATGACATGAGATATGGAAGAGCTACGTAGAGTGGGAGATTATGAGGGAGAGAAAAGTTAGATGAACTGCCAATGCTTTTTTTAGTAAGACACTCACATAGGATGTGTAGTTCTTCCAAACTGAAGTCTGTTGACAAAATGCTGACTGCTTGACTGTTTTTTTCTTTTACTGCACCATCAGCAATGCCCATTTTATTGATGCTGGGACAGTTGTGAAGGAAATTGACAGAAAAGCACACACGCGCATGCACACACTGCCTGCAATGTATTTAAGAAACGTCATTAGTTGCTCTAGAAGTTTACTCTATCTTTCTGCTTTGTTAGCCGTTTTCCTCCATCTTTGCACAGAAATACATTAGAAGATGCTAGAGAACGTCGATTTTAATAGAAACCATAAACCAGGAACTGGATATTATGTGAATGTGTAAACCTCTAAAGATAACTTTCAAGAGAAAGCTTTTTAATAGTAGACTCACATTTAATAATCAGAAACCAGCATTCCTGATGACCATTGTGTTTTCAAAAGGCAAGCTCCATTGGCTGTGCCACTTATATACTCAAGAACACTGATTTTTGAAGATTTTAGGGTGCTGCCTGCTAAGAGGTAATATTTTATACTGTTACATTTCTTTTCAGAACCAAACCTGTCTCTTATCATGAACGAGCTCTCTTTTCAGATTGCAACTCAAGATGCAAATGTTCAGAGACAAAATGGGAACCTGTGTGTGGTGAAAATGGAATCACATATGCATCGGCATGTCTTGCTGGTTGTCAAACCTCCACCAGGAGTGGAAAAACTCTTGTAAGAAATCCCTAATGTGTGTGCCTGTGGTGCCTTCTACATAAACCACACAGCTCTGTGGTAGCTCAGGGACCAACCCAGAAGCAGACCACACTGGTCGCTGCTCTGGATCTTGCTCTACCCTTGTTCTTTTACGTGGAGAGCTAGTGGACTAGACTTGTTGAAAGAACGAGGGTAAGAATTAGAATCATGAAACATGCTAGAAGAGCCTCACGTGATGTAGTTCTCTCATTTTGCTTGTGAGGAATATTAGCCTCAACTGAGAAAATCTTAGTGATAAGATCTGCATTGGGATCCAATTCTTCTGGCCTCAAGGCCAGTGGTAGTTGGTGGTTTTAGGGACAGGACAAATAGAGGCCAGTGTTAGAAAGTCTAGCCTGAGAGGTCTAAACCCAGGGATCACAAACTTGATTTTGAGGAGACTGATAGCACCAGACATTCTGCCTGGGAAATCAAGCCCATGTGTGAAAAGAGTAGATGGTGGAATGAAGGAGCTCTGTAGGGTAGATTATGGAGATGAGGCTGGAAATAAAGGTAAGAAATCAGTTGTGAAGGATATTATGTACTTTAATCATTAAAAGACTCATTTCTGTAGTCACACCTTTACATTTCTGTTGCATACATAGACTCTCTCTTGTACTCTCTGTTTATATGGCTAGCAGTCAGACTGCTGTCTGTTTGTGGTGATGAAATCTGCCTGTATTTGACAGTCCTGGGGGGCTGAAAATTAACCCACACATCTATTTACATATACTTATCAACTAGATAAGAATGCTTAGGCAAAGACTTATGTTGATGTAGAGTAACATGTTAGTTTTCTCTGTTTATTGTTACTTTGACTTTTTATTCGGAGTAGGAAGGGTTAGCCTCCAGCAACCATGAACGGGACTACCTACCCAAATGAAACTGAGTTTTGCCCTCCATTCCCCTTTCCCTCTCCTCTCCTCCTCCCCATTTCCCTCTTCCCTCCTTCCTTTCCTCTCTCCCTTTCCTTTCCTCCCTCCCTCCCTACCTCTTTTTTCTCCCTGCCTCTTTTCTCCCTTCCGTCCTTCCTTCCTTCCTTTTTTTCTTCTCTTCTCTTTTAATTTCTTTTCTTTCCTCTTCTTTTTCTTTCTTTTCTTTTCCTTTCTCTCTTTCTCCCTCTTTCTTTCTTTTCCCCTTCCCTCCCTTTCCCTTCCCTTCCCTTCCCTTCCCTTCCCTTTCCTTCCTCCCCCCACCCCTCCCCTTCTCTTTCCCTTCCTTTCCTCTTCCTTTCCCTTCCTCCTGCTCCTTTCTTTTCTTCCAGCCTCTACTCTTTTCTCCAAACTGCTTGAAAGTTTTCCTTACCTAGAACTTCCACTTATTGAAAGCATTCATGCCAGGAACTAAGAGAGGTGCTTAAAAAAAATGGGATTTAAATATCATGATCTTCGAGTAATTAGGTATTACTTATCTTATTTTTCTCATGTGAGAACTGAGGCACTGAGGTGCCTAAACTCATGTATCTAGTAAGAGGCAAGGTCAAGGTTCAAAAGTGTTTACCTGACAGTTAAAAAAAACAACCAACAACATTTCTACTCTTCCTTGGAAAGGAAATGCCAGCTTTATTTCACTGTTTAACTAAAAATTCACAAACTCTTTTGTGAAATTTATAAAAATAATGAGGGATTATCAAAGTTGCCTCTCCAAGATTTAGTTGAGGTTTATTAGTCAGGATTTTTCCCCCAGTTACCATTAAAAAGTCACATCCTCAATTTATGCCCATTTATTTAACAGATTTTTTTGTTGAATGCATAAAAAGAGGAACCTTTTTAGGCTTTATATATGTGATGATGAGAAAGTAGACGGTTTCTGCTAGAGGTTTCATTCTAGTGGAATATATAGTTTAAAAACAAATGAATATATAGTATTCTAATGAGTAATGATAAGATGAGTTGGGATAAAGGATGGAGAGATGGGGGTATTTTTTTTGAAAGGGTAGTCATGGAAGCCCTCTTTAATGAACTAAGCAGAGACCTGGGGTACGTGCACCAGCCTTCCTACTATCTAGGAGAGCTACCCAGCAGAGAGAACAGCGAGGCTGTGAGGCATGGGTAAACTCACCATGTTCAAAGATTGGCAAGGGCGCAGTGGAAACCCATGTGTGCCGCTGAAGCAGAGGGAGAAAGGGAAGATCACTGAGCTGTGAGATCAGAGGGGAATCCAGGAGCTCCATTAGAGTATGTATGCATCTGTGAGGATTTTGGATTTTATACAACCATAAGAAGAAGCTACTGGAAGGCTGAGAATAGTGACTGCCATTTTTAAAGGCTCACTTTGGTTACTGTGTGGGTAACAAACGATAGCTGGATAAGAGCGGAAATAAGTTGAGCATAAAGAGATCACTACAATAACCAAGGCAAGGAATAATAGTGGCTTAGACTTGGAAATGGCAGAGAAGAAGATGAAGTATGTTTGGACGCACCAGGATTTACTGAGAGATTGTTTGGTAGGGTCAGTAGTTTGAACAGCTGCTGTTTGGATGAAAAAAACATGATCTCTATAGATTTCACTTTGCTCACTATACTTAACACAGAGAAATAAAAGAATATTTACCTTATTGTTTATATAATGCATGCATACTATATTGTGAAGTCTATTTAAAAATATATATTTTTTCAATTTTACTTAAATGTTACCTCAATAATTGGACTTTGTTCTGTTGTATTACAGATATTTTATAACTGCACCTGTGTGGGGATTGCAGCCTCAAAGTCAGGAAATTCCTCAGGCATGGTGGGCAGGTGTCAAAAAGATAATGGATGTCCCAAAATGTTTCTGTATTTCCTTGTCATTTCAGTCATCACGTCCTATACTTTATCTCTAGGTGGCATACCTGGATACATACTGCTTCTGAGGTGAACACTGATTCTCCCTGACCCAGTTTTAATAAAAGATGTACTACAATAGTTTGGAATATTGATTTCAAATTCTGTTCCATAGAATTGTGATTCCTTATTGCTCTCTCAGGGGTCTTGACCCATATCCTTATTCTAGTTTTAGACTCTTCCCATTTTGGGTTTTTATGCAAAAATATGGTTGAAAAGAAGTTTTTCTAGTTAAAAATTTTTTGCAAATCATTGGTCTAGAGAGCCTACACCATTGTAGTACCTACATCACTATAGCCACTCAAAAAATACACTATGCTATTTCTAGATAATATAATAATTATCATATTATTATTACCAATAATAATATGCTATTTCTGGATAATATTATCCAGTGTAGACTAAATGTGTTTTTTATTATTTTTTTAAGATATTAATTTTAAGTAATCTCTACACCCAACATGGGATTCAAACTTACAACCCAGAGATCACGTGTCACATGCTCTACCAACTGAGCTAGCCAGGTGCCCCTAGGTTGTGTTTTAGATTAAGCATGGTTTCACCAAATTATGGATGATAAAATTTTAAGATAGTTTTAAAGATTCATCTAATATCACAATGTTTCACATTTATTATTTTAATATATAGGTTATTTTTCTTGTTCTGACTAGAATTATCTATATATATGGGTGTGGGGGGTATTCATGACTTTGAATCAATTGCATTCTCTAATCTATGAATATATGTTAATGATTCCAAGTGTGTTTGCTTAAAAACTCTAAAAGAATTTTTAAAACTGTGTACCCCTTTTGCATATTGTTAAGTGAACATCTAAAAATTTAAGTTTAATAGTAAGTAAACATTGATTTCCAGTATATTATAAATATTTACATTTAAAAATATAATAATTTTAAATGTAGATCACTCTTAAATGTAATCAGTGAGAATCTAGAAAACAGATTAGGTAACCAATATTACCTAATTTAAAATTACACACAAAAAAATCTTTTACAGTGAATATGTTACATTTTCTTCTTGTGCTTATATCTTAATTCAACTTTCCTATAGGCTTCTCTTCTATTGTAATATAATTTATGTTTGAACATTACTTATTGACTCTCCTATCATAGATCTCTATAAAAAAGTATATAAATTCAAACTTTAAAATAGTAGTTTTATAACTATATATATATAGTTATAACTATGTATAGCTATATATAAGTATATTCAAATGGTATTGGATAATTGTCAGTGATAAAATTTTGTCAGTGATAAAATTTCCTTCCTAATGAGGGGCGCCTGGGTGGCTCAGTGGGTTGAGCCTCTGCCTTCGGCTCGGATCATGATCTCAGGGTCCTGGGATCAAGCCCCACATCGGGTTCTCTGCTTGGGAGAGAGGGGGAGCCTGCTTCCTCCTCTCCTTCTGCCTGCTTCTCTGTCTGCTTATGGTCTCTCTCTCTCTCTCTGCAAATAAATAATAAATAAAATCTTTTTAAAAAATTGTCTTCCTAATGGAACTAGCCATGCAAATATTACTATTATACAATTGATAAAATAATCTAAAAATATTACAAATTTTGGTAAAGTTATTAAGCATAAAAAGTCAAGTTTTATCAGAAACCCATCTTTTATTAAATGATTAGTTGATTTTTAACTTAATGTACATATTGAAGGATGAATATAACATTATTCTACAATGAAACTCATCAAAAGTATATATCTATGATTTCCTACAATATATTAAGGAAATTGATCAGGAAAGATAAACAGAAAACAGGACCTAACATCCACAAATACGTTTTTCGCAAAAGGGCTTAAGGAAAACATGCAATACTGTGTTTTCAAATGGGAGCATGATATGGAGAGCATTGCACCAGAGTTCTCAAACCAGAATTGTTCTTCATGGGTGGCTGTTTCTTCTAGAACTTAAACTGGGTCAAGTGCTTAATCAGGCTCCTAACGAAGAGTTATCTTCACCACCAGCCCTTCCACGCTGTGTTTTGATGGCAGAAGGAGATGTCTCTGGACTAAAGGAGAAAAGTTGTGATTTTTACCTCCTTTAAAGTAGAGATTAAGTGATATTATACATACAAAGAAATTGGTACCATGCTTAACACTCAATAGTTATTATAATATCATCATGATTATTCTCATTAAAATTGACAGGCCAATTAGTTAAAGCTATACAGTCATATTAAGGATGCTCTTGTTATTTAGGTATTCTTACACTTGGCTGCAAGATTCAGGTCACCACTATTTAACAGAAACACTTAGCATGCCACAGCAATGGTGATTGTGTCAACTTGGATCAATACAGTCCTGTGCTTTTACAGCAAGAGCCACAAAAATTAGTTATAGGTTATTGATCCCTTGTTGCCTCAAATTTCTTAGAATTTTTTGTCTGTAAGTCTTTGTTGTTTTGCTGATTAAACTGACAATTTTACTTTATCCAATACCATTTGAATATATCATGGAGAGGGGATTTACATTTTGGAAATAGTAACTGTAAACTCTCTGATGTATTGTATCTAGTAGCACATGGAGTTACATAGTTTGCCCACCCTATGCTAGGACACTATGGGTTCTCCATAAATGCTACTTGAATTCTAACATTATTTCATTTATGTTAAGCAGATTATCACTAACATTACTATTTGCTTTAATGGGCTACATTTTCTTTATAGTGCTTTTGTTGTTTTTAGGTGCATTAAGCCACAACTTAAGTCTTTTGCCCTGGGTATCTACACCTTAGCAATAAGAGTTCTTGGTAAGTATAATGTATGTTTTAATTATGGTAGCCATGTCAAATGTGTTTTGAATACTTTTCTAAGTATTTTTTACAGAATTGCCATGCATAACTAAATAATATAGGTGGTTAGGTCCCTCTTTCTTTCATTTCTTCCCTTATTTCTTTATTCCTTCCTTCCTTCCGACTCTCAACTTCTCCCTTCCTTTGTTTTAGAAACTGAGAGCCGATGCTCTGCTTGTGGTATAATAAAGTGATGTTGTGAGAATAGTGACTTTTTTTGTTTAACAATCTTGTCTCTTCCAGCATTGGTCTATTGTCAAAAAGTTTATTCTTGTTATGAAAGAGCCCTCTGGGAAGAAAGCAAGAAATGAATCAGTAAGAAAGGCTGAAGCCTTAATATAATTTTTTCAGTTGTTGAAATAGAAAGAATTCTTTTGACCTAGTCTCAATGCTGGGATATATCATTTCGTAGAAAGATCAGCTCTTTCATACAACCAAAACAGTATGGCTTTGAGCTGACAATTTTTAAATGTAATTGGAATGGTTCTTTTATGACTAATAGATTTTTCAGTATGCATTAGTTAAAACCCATACAAAATAGAGTTAATGAATCAGGTAAGTTTTCTGTTTGTGCAGAGTTTATATTCTAAGGGAGAAAGCAAAACAATCACACATGTTCTTCTGTAATTTAACAGAAAAGAACTGCAGGGAGAAAAACAAACTCAGATCTTTAAAAAATCTGAAAATAAATAAATCTCGATATAAAATGGGTATATATGAAGATACGGTATAATCCCAATGAAATTGGGGAAGCAGCAAATAAGGAAGTTTATTCCATTATGGCTGAATCTAATTCTACAACAGAGCTTACCTAGAAAAACATCAGATTTTTGAGCCTGAAGGAAATCTCTGACTAGAATTGGTTTCTATATCTACTCCTTTTGGAGATAAAGATATAACCTACACCGTGAAAAAGATTTCAAGGAAAAGAAATGTTTCACTGGGGCACTGGCTGGTTCTGTCAGTAGAACACATAACTCTTTATCTCAGGGTTGTGAGTTCAAGCCCCATCTTGGGCATGGAGCCTATTTTTAAAATGAAAAAAAAAAGTATTAAAAAAATTCATAAAATGGATTCCATAAAAGTAAAAATATACTTGAAAATGGCAAAAATATCATAAGCAAGTCAAAAGGCAAATGATAAACTTGGAATAATTATTTTTTGCCAATTATGTAATAGACTATTTATAATATCCCTATTACAAAGAGAGCCCCTAAGTATTGAGAACAAAAAGACCAACACCCATATGGAAAAATGGGTAAAAGATATGAATAGCCATCTCATGGAAAAAAAATGTAAATGCCTCTTAATATATGAAAAGATAGTCAAACTCATAATAAAGAGAGCACAAATTAAAATTATACTGAGAGAATGTTTTTTGCTATCAGATTTGCAAACTACCAAATGTTGTTCCCAACGCATGGAAGAATAGATATGCTTACATATTGCTGTTGAAAAAATGGTGCCATTTCCTGATGATTATGTGACAGTAGCGAACAAAAAAACTATGTATAGATTTATCTTTTGATCTAGCAATCCCACTTGTAGAAGTTGATACCAAAAATTTGCTAGCAAAACTATGAAATAAGTAAAATTTTATGGATGTCTAATTATTGTGGCATTATGTATAATAGCAAGACAATAAACAATCTAGTTGTCCATCAATATGACATATTTGAATAAACTATAGTTAACCCACATAATGGAATCCTATGCAGCTGTAAGGATGAATGGGGAAAAAAAATCTCCCTGTAATGTTAACAAATTCATTAGTCATCTCTGGCTGCCATAACAAAATACCACAGACTGAAAGACTTAAACAACAAAATTTATAGTCTCACCATTCTGAAGGCTGGGAAGTCCAAGATCAAGGTACCAACAGGCCTGGTATCTGGCGAGATCCCTGAGACCCTTTTTCCTGGTTTGTAGACTGCTGCCCTCTCACTGTGTCCTTACAAGGATTTCCCCTGTGTACACATGGAGAGAGAGGGAGCTTTGGTATCTTTTACTCCTCTGATTAGGATACCAGTCCTAGCAAATTAAGTCCCTTGGGACTTCACTTAACCTTAATAATCTCCTTAATAACTCTGTGTCCAAATGCAGTCATATTAGGGTTAGGGCTTCAGCATATGAATTTCAGAGGGACACAGCAGTCTATACTACCAAGGGATCTCCAGGCTATACCCTTAGTGAAGTAAAATGTAGAACGATGTTCATACTATGATACATTTGGTGTAAGAAGTATGGAAAGGTAGAATTATTATAAATATATGCAAAGGTATTTGCTAACATTTAAAAAAGAAACAACGGAAGTATAAACTAAAAACATGATGATGATGATAGTAATGGTAGTGGTTGCGGTGGTGGTTACCTATAAGGGAAGGAAGGAAAAAGGTAAGAGAGGACAGACTGGAAAGTAGAGTTTATAAATATAACTCTGGTTTAATTTTTAATTTGAAATCATGCAAAGTTTTTTCAAATCTTGATCTCAGGGCCTGGGATGGAGCCCCATGTGGGACTCTGTGCACAGTAGAGAGTCCGCTGAAGATTCTCTTCCTCTGTCTCTGCCCCTACCCCCTCCCGCACACCCCCCTGCCACTACTCATGGGCCCCCTGCGTGCTCTGTCTCCTCTATCTCTCTTAAATACATAAGTAAATATTTTTTTTTAAAATGAAATTATGCGGGGTGTCTGGGTGGCTCAGTGGGTTAAGCCTCTGACTTTGGCTCAGGTCATGATCTTAGGGTCCTGGGATAGAGCCCCGCATCGGGCTCTCTGCTCAACGGGGAGCCTGCTTCCTCCTCTCTCTCTGCCTACCTCTCTGCTTACTTGTGATCTCTCTCTCTGTGTCTAATAAATAAATAAAATCTTTAAAAAATATACTGGGAGAAGACATTTTAAAAAATGAAATTATGCTAAGTTTTTTTGTAATTGAAAACAACAAAAAGAAACTAAGACTTTTTTGAAACAAACTGAAATTTGTTGTGTATCAAATAAGAGGCATAATCATAAAGAAAAACAGGTTTAAAAGGACAGAATCATTACCAAAGCCACATAACTTCACTACATTTTGTAGTCTTATCTTTAATACTAACATTGGTGTCATTATGTTGAAACTATTATGTATTTTAAAATAAAGCAAATGAGAGATTATGTTAATATCATTAGAAGTGAATATTGTCTGCCCAATAGAAAAGTGATAACGTAGAATAAGTAAAACCCATTCTTAAATAATGGGAAGGTGACCAGGAAAAGTAAGGTAAACAAAGGTTAGATTAGTTAGGGAGATTTGGATGGGTTCCTTCTCCTTTGATTAAAGCCTCTTAGGATTAGGAATCCTCCTCTTCTGGGTACAGAGATGTAGACACCCTTAACAAATGGAGATCTCTGTTATAAATGTTGCTTCCCTTACAAAAAGGAAACTTCTGCTCTGTCTTAGGGGTTTCTGTGCCTTCTGTTGCTCAAAATAACCTTTATGCCAGAGAAATATGAGGTGGTGTATTCTGGTCTTCTACAGGTACCCATTTCCCCCAAAGCAGTTTTTTTCTTTTTAGTTTGAAAGTAAGTGGTTCTGAGACTCATTCATTATAGGGTAATCAAGAGATGGACATATATTTTTAGTAGCAATTGTGTGTTTTTCTCACAGCAGGAATCCCAGCTCCTGTGTATTTTGGAATTTTGATTGACACTTCATGCCTCAAATGGGGATTTAAAAGATGTGGAAGTAGAGGCTCCTGTAGATTATATGATTCAAATGCTTTCAGGTACTGTATTAGACTCGTTCCTGCGTCTCCCCACTACAACATTCCAGGTTTGAACAATGAAATGAGCAATAATCATTCCTTATGGAGTTTCACTGCACAAGGATCATCGAACCAAGAAGCATGTTCTATTTTATAGAATAATTTTATTGCTATTTATTTGGCTAGACCTTTCAGCTTTTCCCCATTCCTAATCTTGACTCCCATTTTAAAAGAGTAATCTTTTTTTAAATAAAGTTTACAAAAGATTCCAGAATATAGTAGAATTTTTGTAAGTTGATGCACACAAGTGGGTAATTCTCTGAAGCTCAGAAGCATTTAAATTTAGGTCACATTTTGGGTTTAATTCTATTCTTTTTCAAACCAAGCCAAACTGTCCCATTTACGTCAGATATAATCCCCCTGGGCAAGAGTTGGATTTGGCTCTAAATCTGTCCAGCTTTTATTGCCAAACTGATGTTCAATTATTCCAGTACTTGAGATGCATAAAAGTAAAAGGTTTTTTCTGTGTGTATGAGTGTGCATGGGGTTGAGGGGCATGGGTTTTTCACTGTGGTATCATTCAGTTCAGTTCATCAAACTTTAGTCCCCTTATTGCTAAAAGCAATGCTTCAGTGGCTTAAAAGCAGGAAGGATTTTTTTTTTTTTTTTTAGATTTACAAATCTGAGCATTTTCAGGAGGCATAAGCTTGGTACTAAACTGTATAAGTTGGAAGTTGGATGTGAATTGAGCCAAGCATCTCAAATAAGTTTGTTTGATTAATAGGCTTTGATGTTATGTGAGAAATTTATTTTGGTCTTTGAAAGGGAGTTGACCTTTGAGTAGAATTTGTGCTTTGCTCACATTTGCTAAGGTGGCATTTCCTTTAATGTAAAGACAATGTATTTCAATCAGAGACTGATTATGTGTACAAGGTGACCAGAAGAAATCATTCAACCTGCCCTTCCATACCTTCCTGTTTTATGACAGAATGAAGAACTAAAGGCTTCTTACTGAAGAAGGTGATTTAAACCTTTGGTTAATTCTTAAGTCATTCTGCTCTACTAAGAGCTCTGATTCTCCCTTGACATTTCTTTTTGTGGCTTTTTTTTTTTTTTTTTTTTTTTTTGTAGAAGTGCATCTGGGCAGGTTTCAAGGGTAGGGTAACCACATAATTTATCATTCAACCTGGACACTTTTGAGAGTGAAAGGGGGCACTATTAAAAAGTACACTGGGACAACACCAGCATAAGCTAGGACTGTTCTGGGCAAATAGACATATGGTCACCTGGTCTAAGGGAATAATTTACAGAGAGGATGGACCTGATTATGTAATTAGTAGTAACTAAAAATTATGGCACCACTAAGAAGTCGCTTTATATTAGCATACTGCCTTCAATAGTCTGCCAGATGTTCATAGAAAGGTCTTTTGTAGCCACTGAATTTGCATTCTTAAGAAAAAACATCCTCGTGACAGTTTCATTGATAGATTGGTTTTCTTGGTATTGCTATCTACTGAATGATACTGTTACCTTCCTTGCCCATTTTAAAGTTGGATAGTTGCAATAATTATGACTGAGTTTCTCTCTTCTTTTAGACATATATATCTGGGACTTACTGTGATGCTGGGTACAGTGTCCATTTTCCTAAGTATTGCAGTACTTTTCACTTTAAAGAAAAATTGTGTTTCAAAACATAGAAGCTTCAGAACCAAGACAGAAGGAACAATGGTGTCTACAAGAATCAGGAAGGAAAATTGTACTACAAGTGATCATTTACTACAACCCAGCTGCTGGCCAGGCAAGGAAACACAGCTTTAAAAAATGATGACTTGAAGCCATGTTTTCTAATTTCTGGAAATTTTGCAAACAAATAGATTTTAATCAAAGGGGTTTTTAATGTGTCATTTTTTTTCTCCTTTCAAAATATGTCTTTGACTCTAAGTATGAGATAATGTACCTAATAACAAATAAAATTAAACATATTATAGAAAATACAGATAATAAAGCTAATCCAAACCTTTTATTTCTTCCTTATATTATTTATAAATTCCACATATTATTTACTCATTCTGCTTAATTTTGCCTTGCGCTCGTTATCTATTAGCTGTATTGCTAGAACAATTGTCCTGATAGTCTAATGGCTATGCATAGAGTAATTTTTAAACTGAAATACTTGTCAAGGGGAAGAGAGTCCTGTTAAAAAATTAAATTATATCTTGGCCTCCTTCAAATATGACCTTAATGAAGATGTTGGACTAGAGCCAGAATATGTAGAGAAAGATTTCATTTTAAGCTCTTCCTTTCTTTTGGACTTTAGTAATTGGCACAGAAATATATAGTGGCAAATGATCTTGGAGGATTAAAATTTTGGATTATTAGCTCTTCTGCCATCCATTATATGTGCATTGTGTGTGACACCTGAAGTGACCATAATGATAAAGTATAAAATTATTATTACCATGCTTCATTGTCTGGCCAAAATTAATGAGACAGTAAACAACAAGTGTTGGAGAGGATGTGGAGAAAGGGGAACCCTCTTACACTGTTGCTAGGAATGCAAGTTGTTATAGCCACTTTGGAAAACAGTGTGGAGATTCCTTAAGAAATTAAAAATAGAGCTACCCTATGACTCTGCAATTGCACTACTGAGTGTTTACCCCAAAGATACAGATGTAGTAAGAAGAAGGGCCATATGTACTCCAATGTTCATAGCAGCAATGGCCACAATTGCCAAACTGTGGAAAGAGCCAAGATGCCCTTCAACGGACGAATGGATAAAGAAGATATGGCCCATATATACAATGGAGTATTATGCCTCCATCAGAAAGGATGAATACCCAACTTTTGTATCAACATGGATGGAACTGGAAGAGATTATGCTGAGTGAAATAAGTCACGCAGAGAGAGTCAATTATATGGTTTCACTTACTTGTGGAGCATAAGGAATAGTAAGTATGGAGGACATGGGGAGATGGAGAGGAGAAGTGAGTTGGGGGAAATCAGAAACCATGAGAGATGGTGGACTCTGAGAAACAAACTGAGGGTTTTGGAGGGGAGGGGATTTGGGGGAGGGATGAGCCTGGTGGTGGGTATTAAGGAGGGCACGTATTGCATGGAGCTCTGGTTGTGGTGCAGAAACAATGAATCTTGGAATACTGGAAAAATAAAATAAAATTTTTTAAAAAATGCTTCATTGCCCTTCCATTTTTTTCAGTGGATTAAGAAGTACAGTTAATTCTGCCCATATTTTAATGTATGTAAGCTCCTCCAGACATACACACATGATGTGATCCTAAAATGCTGTTCAAAGTTGAATTTCTGAAAGTCTACAGTAAGCTTAGATGGTGTAAGAGGAATGCAGAGGTGATGGGTTGAGTGATGGTGTGGTTCTTGGGTGCTTTATCTGGCACTCATCATGGGGTCTAAGGGCTTCTGGGCAGGGGGCTGCAGCTTGCCAGATAGCTCTTTCATTTCGGGCATTTCTTCTCTGCTGGCTTCCTGGAGCTTCTCTGAGGAGATATAGTAGGTTCACCAGTCCTCCATCATCAGCTCTATTACTTACTATATGTTTCTTCCTCCACCAGCTGTGTGAGAGGAGCCTGGGCCTCCTAAGAAAGCAGACTTAAAGTAGAGACCACTGCAGTGGAGTCTTGAAATTGTACCATGATTCTTAGCAGACTTTACAACAAATAGAGCATGCAATCAGAACGCTCCCAGCAAGAAGTTTGTTTGAGGAGTTTCTAGGAGCCTAAGTCCAACAAGAAGGCCCAGTTTAAAAATGCAATAGTCAAAAAACAAAACAAACAAAAAACCAACCAACCAAACAAACAAACAAGCAAAACCAATAGTCTTCAACAGTGGAAGGATCAAATAGTCCAAACAAAACAGTTTGCTGTTTTTTCCTTTTTCCATTACATACCAATCCTGTAAATACAAATGGAAAAAAAAAAAATGAGATGGAAAGTTTGGGGATGGAGAGCAGAGGGCTTTTCCTTTAAATGTATATTAATGTTGTCATTTCATTTGAATTAGTGATGTGAGATCATCTCATATTGTACTATTTTTGAAAATGAAAATAGACCTGTTTTGTTTCCAGCAGGCCTCCATCAGACCTGCTGCTGCTGTGCTAACTTGAGAGCAGGAATTCTTTTTGTCGTCTCGGTATCAGTCTAACCCAGAACAAATATTTTTCGAGTCGGTGAGTGACTACGCTTGTCAAGAATTTTTTTTGTGGGGATGAAATTAAAATTCATGGTCCTCATCCTGTCTCCCACATCCTCTTTATTTTTCAAACCTTTCTGTAGCAAAATTCTGAAAAATAACTTTTTTGCAAGTAAATTTCTAAATGGAATCCTATCCAATTTACTCTTGAGTAACTTGAAAAATAAGTAAAAATTGGCATGAAGGCTGATTGGATGATCTTTTTTTCATAAAAGTACTGGATGTCGGTGAAAAGGAAGCATTTTTTATGCATAACCATTAATTTGACAGTGGAATTATAAAAACTAAACTCACTAATATGGCACACGAGGGTATCATTTAGTGGGGAACTGAATTTACTAAAGGGGACCCTGATATTTTGGATGAGTAAATTCATCTGACAGAAGTAAGCAGGCTTTTTAAGCCTCAGAAAGCACATGATTAACTTTTTTTTTCTAACAAGCCCAACTTCATTTCAAAGGTCAAAAAAATCCCCTCAGCTCCCGGGTCAGACATTTAGAGGTAAGGCCTTGACCAACACGTGGGACTCCACAATTGCTCCATATTCAGTGGGCCACTTTCTTCTCTTGTTCCACAGCCATAGCCTCTAGAACTGACCAGCACCTCAAATGACCATCTGATTCCCTGTAACTTTCAGACAGGTTAATCTCCAGCAATGTCATTTTATGAATGGAGTGACTTAAATTGGATGAAATGATTTAGCCAAGGTGGAGGGGGGCAAACTAGTGCTGGCTTCTTCTCTTCCATCATGAGGCCTCTGAAGCAGGTAATAAAAACAAGCCCTCTGAAACTCTGAAAAACAACTAGAAGAACTTTTATAATTAATAGCATTTAAGAAATCTCCACTGGGGCACATGGGTGGCTCAGTGGGTTAAAGCCTCTGCCTTTGGCTTGAGTCATGATCTCAGGGTTCTGGGATCGAGCCCCACATCGGGCTCTCTCCTCAGCAGGGAGCCTGCTTCCCCCTCTCTGTCTCTGCCTGCCTCCCTGCCAACTTGTGGTCTCTCTCTCTGTTAAATAAATAAAATCTTTAAAAAAAAAAAAAAGAAATCTCCACTTATATATGAGGATTTATATAATAATACATAAATGGAGATTGATAGAATACAGTGACTGTAGCATATCCTTGAGAATAATAAGCATTTTTAATAATTTTATAACATCTAGTAAGTATAACAATATTAAGCATTCTCCATATGTGTGCTGAGTGCTTTAGACACATTTCCTCAATTTCAAATATCAAAATAACATTATGTGTTGGGTATAATTAGTGATATCTTTAAAGGAAGAAACCTAGATTTAGAGAGTTTAGCAACTTATTCAAAGCTAACAAGTCTCAGTAATTGGTTGAGCCAAGATTTCAATTGAGTTTTATCAGATTTGGACAGCCACATTATGCCTGTATTAATCTATACCCTAAATTGTTATCTCCCAGTAATTTTGCTAAAAATAACTTTTGGACATCTACTTTGGAAGTTTTAACATACCAAAATATGCACATGGTTAAAGAAAATCAAATGATGCAGAATGATTTAAAATGAAAAGTAACAGTCCTGCACCCTAACTTCACTTCTGTTCCTCAAAGGCAATTACTTCTTGCAAGTTTGGGTTGTTGGTTTTTCTGATGGTCACTTCCCTGTTTTTAAATAACATACAAATACTGCTTCTGGACTCATCAACTTTGGGCAAAGTCTATTGACTGTCCACTCTGATAGATTAGGAGTAATGCCTCTCCTCCCCTGTAATTAGCATATAGTGAGGTCACTGTTCTGAGTTCTTCAAACGTCACCCTACTACCTCCATTTCTCATTTAAGAAACACAAACCATATTGTGTTTCCCCACCCTGCAAAATGAAGACCCTAGAGCTTCCTCCCTCTCCTTGATGTTTCCAAACTCTCATCTCCTTTCTGCTCACTGTGCCTTTACTTTAACATTGTCGAGAATAACACGTGTCGTCAGCTCTGTGAACGTTCCATCAGGAAAAGCCTAAATGGTTATGATAAGATCGATGCCATCTACTGGTGAAGCCATGAAATCTCACAATTAGGAAAAAAGAAAAAGGAATAAAAACATGTATTGAGGACCTCCTACGAATCAAGCATTAAAGGCACATTAACACATTTAAATATTAACGAGTATAATTAAAAGTTTTATGCTTCAGTAATTTTAGAATATACTGAGTTAATGATAACTCACACAAGTGCAGGATCTCTAATGTGATGATGTGCACTACTGATCTCTTCAAAAGATGAGTAACTTTATTTGGCAGATTTATTTGGCATTAAATCTACTTTGTATTAACAAGTCTTGGACCTAGGTAATTTTAATTGCAGTGTATTAGGAAAATAAAATTTTATCCTCCTCCTTTATACATTTTTGTTATCCTATATGTCAGCTTCTGGTATCAGGCTTACGCAGTTTTGTAAAATTAACTAGAAAACTATTTCATTTTTAAAGTTCTGGAACAGATTTTATAGCATAGGAAGTATCTGTCTCTTTTACATTTGAAAGAATGTTTTAGCCTTTTAAAGAAATAATACTTTGAAAAATTTTTGATTGGTTATTTTAACTTTTTAAAAAATATCTGCTTAGTGAT